CATTAAGCTTCAGCCTCCATTATCTATTGTCTTAGTTGCATTTCACACGACCGAAATTCAATGCAGGCGGAGGTATGCAGTCTCGGAGTGCCCTCTAGTTTTCATTGAAATGTTTATCGATCCTTTTTGCTGTTTGCTTCGTAAGGTGGTGGTGAGGCAGACGGTGCAAAGTTGCCCTAAAAATACAAAAAATTAAATTCACTAATTTACTGAAATGACAGCCGTATAAACACGGAGTCATAGCTTATACTTGTAATAGCATAGTTGCCCGGGTTTCTTTTGTTTCAACAGGGTCGATTACTAACTAATCGCCCGCTGTAGCGGGTTAGAACTAATCGCCCGTTACCAAGGGTCACACCTTTGTCTCCTTGACGATTACGCATTAGGCAAGTGCCTCACGCACATAATCGTGCAAGGAACAGCAACAGTAGTGATGGGCGATACCGAGTACTCAGTATTCGATACCAGCGATACCACAAACAGCGGTATCGGTATCGATTACTGACGTGGTATCGTTCGATACTTGCACCCTTTTCTAATTAAATGACTTGTTTAATTTCACTTCTTGGTTGAATAAGATTTTATTACAAAAATAAGTGTGAATTTGGAAAAAATGTGGTTAATTGACAAAAATTTTAGAAAATTATGGATAACTTTGGGATTTTAGGAAAAAAATTTTTGAGAAATGGGGAAAATTGCTGATGTCCGGAAAATTTTGGATTTGTCCGAAAAAATTTTTTAACCGCTAAAACGGTACACTGACCGAAAATTTTTTGGCGACGGGGGGGGGAGGTTGCATGCTTTTTCCGCTGACCGGCAGGTATCGAAAGTAGCGATACTAGCAATTTAAGTACTCATTTCCGGTATCGAAAATTGGAATTTTGTGTTCATTTTGGTATCGAAATAGGTATCGGTATCGGCCGATACCGATCTTAAAAGTATCGGTATCGGTATCGAATTAAAAATCCTGGTATCGCCCATCACTAGTAGGTTAATTCCCAGCGCAGCGCCGCCAGTTCATTCAACTGTAAAAATACTTCATGTAATATATCAATATTGTGATTGACGTAATTCAAACTAAATCGTAAATAAGTTTTTGTATGTTTAAAGTGATACGTCACTGTGACACATTGTAATTTGGTAGGGTAATCAAATAGCTATATAGGGAGTGATTGAACGTCATTGTTGCTGTCAGATCGTAGCGAGACAATCGGAACGTTTAACGGTCTAAAACTCGTGTTGTAAATACTTTCTCTTACATAATACAATCAATAAAATCATAAAATACAGTCCCTTGAGCGTTTATTGAACGAACCAGACGGTGGAATCACAAGCATGCCTGTATATTTAGACAGTTTTGGCAGGTAGCCAAAAAAATTTTGCAATTATACTTTGTGGAAAATTTTAAGTATTTTTTTAGTTAGTATGCATAAAAACTTCAGAGTTCAGACAATGATTGCAGTTAGCTTCAGACACTTGCAGGTAGCGCCACTACCTAGGATACCCTGTTTTGACAGGCATGATCACAAGTTCCACAACAAGAGAAGCTGTATAGGAGCCTGACTAGTATACCCTTACTTAAAGAGCGGCGGAAAATGCTACATGAACAATTTTTTAAGAGGAGAATCTTTTGTATGTTACGTATACATTATATATAACACGCGCTCAAAACTAATGAATATACTTTTCCATCAAGGGTGGGTAGTAGTGAAGTAGTTGTAGTTCGCTACTGTAGCGAACTACAATTTTCAAGTAGCCAGTAGTTTTTGACTACTGTATTAAAACAATAGCTGTAGTTATAGCGAACTACATTTTGCCTAAAAGTAGCCAAGTAGTTGACTACTTTTCAAACAGCAAATCGCTATTCGCTACTTTTTAAAATTGTTAGCAACTTGATAGAATAGCATGATATTGAGACACGGTTTACTTAAAATCAATCCTCAATAGTCAATTCAGTGCACTCTTGAACACTGTAGTGTTTACAAAAATGTTGCTTTGTGTTTACTGTTGCTACTCGTAAGTCGATTTGTTATAGGTTACATTTCAGCTTGAGTTAGTAGATGCTCCAAATACAGTAAAGCTAAAAAATATAGCGTAGCGAAATAGCGAAATAGTTCGCTACATTTTTTAAGCAGTAACTGTAGTCAGTAGCGAACTATCTTTGTTCAAAAGTAGCGGTAAAGTTGTAGCTGACTACATATTTTTGAAGTAGCTGTAGTTATAGCGAACTACAAAAATTTTGTAGTCAACCCACCCTTGTTTTCCATGCGCTTGGTTATGACCATATTCAATTTTTAAAATTTTTGATACGTTTCTAGACAAGCAGCAAAAGTCCGGATGTCTCCCAAAAAACAGGACATTGTTTGATTTCATGTAACGTAAAAGTTATAAAAGCTTATATCGCCATGAAATAAAGATCCTTCAAAATGTTTAGGAACGAACTTTCCCTAAGTCTCATGTTATTAGTATATTTTGTGTTCAATATATAGACCACAGTAAGACTTTTTTAAATGTTTATTTCATTAACAAACGACGTTTCGGAGATTTACTCCATCTTCAGGTAGGATTACAATTTGAATTTAAACTAACATGCGCATGCATAAACGTTAAAATTGCGACCGTTATTCGCGCGTGCGAAATTGCGTAAGCATATAAATTACGTGCACGTGTCCGATTAATTCTAATAAAAATTAGAAATTGTTAATTCTGTCTTTAATGTTTAAACCACGAAATCTAAGACATTTAACTGTTCGTATTTTCCATTCAAGTCTGGATTAAGCTTTTGGATGAATAATGCTTCGGTAATTTTCCGTTCTACAGATCCTTTTGTTCTTTTTAAAATCTTAACAGACAGTTTAGGTTTTTGTCCGTAATGTTGGTCGAGGTAGTGTTTCGAGAAAGCCATGTTTTTATAGGACTTTGCTTTCGGGTTTGCTGCGGAACGAAAATGTTCTTGGTATCGAACCACCAATGGTCTGCCTGTCTCGCCTACGTACGTTGCTCCACAAAGGTCACAGTTGATTTGATACACGATGTCTTTCTGTGTACACTGAACGGGAGCATTTGAGTTGCTGCAGATTGGGCATTTAGAGGTGTCTGTGCATACTTTATCGTAAGGTCGCGATTCTACGAGGAGTTGTTTAAGCGAGCTTTGTGGTCTTTCAACTATTCTGACATTGAGGTTTGAACTCTGGACCGCTCTTCGGATGTCAGTCGTAAAGCTTCTGGAAATGAATGGAATTGTGAATGTGGGAAGAGGTTCAACTTTCGATTTTGGCAGTTTTCGTTTTGTTGTCTGGACTTTTTTTATATAGTTGTTGCTATAGCCGTTTCGTCTCGCTCTTCTTTCAAACTTCCGTTCAGCTTCTTCAAACAAGGCGTCGGTTGAACATATGGAAGTATATGTCTTGATGGTATTACCGATAGCGGTCCGTTTGATTTGTTCTGGGTGGTGTGATTTTGCATTCAACATTATTCCTTTGTTTGCCGATTTTGTATGCCATCCCGTCTCCACTGTTCCAGATTCGTTCACCTTGACTTTTGTGTTGAGGAATGGGAGGAATCCATCTTCACCTGGCAACTCGATTTCGAATCGTATTGATGGATCTTGTGAGTTAAGCTTGTCTTGGATCTTTACAGCTTCATCTGGACCGCTAGCAGGTGTAATACAATCATCAATATATCGATAATACAAGGGAAGGGAAAGAGCCTGGTCGGAATAGATTGCTTGGTTTTCTATTCTGTCCATGAAGAGTATAGCGAGTATTGGGGCTAACCGGTTTCCCATAGCCAGA